GTCTTAATCAGTCAAATTTATGTTCAATTTGGCTTCACCCATTAAGTTTATTGAAATGTAGTCATACATTTGTATTACGTGGTTTTTATAACATTTTGCATTTAGGAACTAAATGGTCACTTTTTAAAAGTATATGATGAAATAGATGTTTTGAAAGTAAGAGAGTAAAATACATAAAAATTAAAAAGTATAAGAACGAAGACAAACGTTTTGAAAGTACAAGAACAAAAAATATATCAAAGTTTAAAGTACAATGACCAAAATAGTATTGAAATATTTCATTTATTATAACATAGATTTGTTTAAGAAAATTTTCTACAATTATTGGACTACCTTATTCCTTTACTCCCACTGTGGTTTTAGCTTTTGACAGACGAACTACATCACAGATCCATGGTCCAAAACATGACTAGATCTAAGCATGACCAGATCTGATCCAAGGCATGATCAGATCCAAGACATGACCAGGTCCATGACACTACTAAGTCTTGGCCGACCAAGCTCCAACCATCTAAGCTCCGGCCGAGAACTTCGATGTAGTCCCTCTGACGACCCTGTGAAGGTGGACCCAAACCTGCTCCACCTTGGTAAAATTCTATTGTGGGTCACTGGCCCCTTGGTTCAACATCCGGCCATAACAAGATGCCACAGTCCAGAAGATGTATGTTTTCTAAAGGCATCAGGATTCAACCACTATAAATTTAAAATTTTGAATTGGAATGTAGAGTTAGAGATAAAATGAGAACATAGGAAAATAAAGGAGATGTGATGCAACACGGGAGAGGAAAGAGATAAAATATGAGATATTAAAAGTTAATAAAAAAAAAAAACACACAACATTTGTCTACATGTTATTTGGACCACGTAAATATTAAGAGAAATCTTCAGAAACGAAATATTTTCCAAAAGAAAAAGTAATTATATTGGTGAACCCATTCACATAGGAAATTAATTTCTAAGTAGGAGACCAATCACTAAGAGACCAATCACTCTAAATCCTTTTGATTTACCTTGTCTCGTTTAGACCAATAAGCCAACTCATAAGGGTTAATTTTGAAAACATTTTCTTAAAAGTGAGAAATGAGAAAAACAGGAATAGTTATCAAATTCTTTGTATCTAAAAAACTTGAAATGAGGAAACAAGAAACAGAACCACTACAAAACGAGCTCAACTTATTCTAACGATGTAGATAAAAATAGGTACCTCAACTGTAGAATAGCAGTGAGAGAGCTGATTTCTTGTTAATATTAGATTAAAATGTGATAAAAGATTCTGAAAGTATTACGTAAAAGTCTGCCTGAAATGAGTTGGAACTTTTGAAATGTTAGTACTAATTAATAGTTTCTCATCTTAAATCGAGTCGGCTGTCACGAAATAATGAAGGTATTTTTCAAAAATAAAAGCCAATATCCATGTGGGCACCAAGGCTATCCTAGCCCAAAAATGGTTCCACCAACACGTTTAACCTTTTGCAATAAAGAACTCACCTTAGTTTTGTCCAAAGTATATAACTTTTCACCTCCAAATAACACTAGATACTTGGTAGCTCAATTTTAAGTGAGACCACTATTTAAGTAATGCACCAGACACATATGCATGTGTAACTAACTAACCGTTACCAAGGTAAGCTCGATATAGGCTCGTGATAGGGCATGTAGCTCTATTTGGACACGTTGACCAACCATCCACTGATCAAATGATAGTGGATCAAATCTCAACGACTTTACAAATGTTTATAATAAACATGAACTATTTCTCTTATTGTCAATGGATTATGGTAAAAATGGGACACCCAGTACAATAAAACAGATGTAAAAATAGAGAGAAAGGTAGTCTCATGCCGTGTAAGGCCCTCATTTCTTACAATTTTTTTAAAACAACAAATGGGGTAGAGGATTCGAACTCATGAAATGCGTTCGAATGGTGGAAACTCTTCCAAACTGGAGTACGGTAGGGATAGAGGGGAATTTCCAATGGAATGGTGAAATGCGTAGATATCGAAAAGAACCAATGGCAAAAATACTATGTTGGGTCGACACTGACTCTGAGAGACGAAAACTAAAGGAGCGAGTGAGATTAGATACTCCAATAATTTTAACCATAAACGATGGATACTAGACACAGTGTATAGTGTTGCACTGAATCCTCTTGAAGTTAACTAATATTCCTCCAACACTAATAAAGTTGGCAAATTTTCACATCTCTCTGTCGAAATCCAAAAACCTAAGAAATATTATGCATGAAAGCAGTGAAAATTGCACATGGAATTCATAAATATCTTTTAAAAAACCTTTCAAATTATTGAATTTGAAAGCCAACGCCCAAGAGAATGGTGTTGAGTGGAGAGTAAGAAATCAAAATGGTTAATAATAATAATAATAATAATAATAATAATAATAATAATAAAAGAGTTGGGAATTTATGAGTATAAATAATTAGGACGCAACCTTATGTTTTGGGGCACCCCATTAAACTAGGGGCTCTCCCCCTCCCTAAGCTTCCCTTGGTATAGGGCTTGCATATAATAATACAAATATAGTAAAGTGATAACGTAAATAATTTTTGGCAATAATATCCATACATTTATGGGCAATACCATGAATCTATTTCATATCTCAAATTATTAATTGATTTATTCTACTACTTCATGATCTACCTAGTTTCATTTATTTATTTAGGATGCAAAATCTCTCATTTCTATTAGCATATTTATCTCAAAAAATACTTTGGTTACCATAACTAGATTGTTTTTTTAGGTTTCGTTGGATAGCAATTTTGTTTTTAATTTTATGTTTTTTAAAAATATGTTTCATTTCCTTACCATTCATGTGAATTATTGGACAAATTTCAAAAATAAAACAAACTTTTAAAAGTTATAGCTTTCAAAATTTGGCTTAAATTTTAAAAGGTGGATAACAAACAAAAAAAATACAGGTGAAAATAGTGTTTTTCAGCTTAATTTTTAAAAGTTAAAAAACTAAAAACACAATGACTTTTAAGGGAAGTTTTATTTTTTAAAAAATTGTTAGACACAACGGATAAAATATTTTTAATTTTATTTTTAGAAAATAAAAATAGAAAAGGAAAAATATGTTAGTACAAATTTTATATCAACTATATAATATTTATCAAATAAATATGTTAAAGAGAGGATGAATAATTAATTAAATAAATAAATATGTTTGTCATAAAGAAAAGATAATTATGTTACAGAGATAAAATATTAGAATATTAAGAAAGAGATAATTTAAAAAATAGATTTATGTTTTTTCTGAAACTTGTCTATTTGTTCTTAAGTATTACCTATAACTTTGAAAATAATATTTTAAAAAAATTTAAAACTAAAAAATGGAGTGAGTTATGATTATCAAACATTGCTAATTTGCAAAACTCCCTTATTTTATTTAGGTTGTAGTTTGTTGATTTTCAAGAAAATCAAATTAATCAAGTAGTTTTTTTTTTCTAATAACAATTTTATAATTTTAGTTTCATGCTAAGGTAACTTTTTCACTTGTAACATAAAGAAATGGGATTTTGGTTGGAAATTTTGTTTATATAATTAAACTTTTCTTTTCTTATTTTTTTAATTGACAAAATTTCTTTAATGTTTCCATAAAAATGTTAATAGACGTTGATGTCAATAAAAGGGGCGATGGTAGACTAGTATAATTAAATAAAATATAAAAAAAAGCAACAAATTTTTTTTATAATAATCATTATTAAATATTAGGATTATTTATATAGTATTTAAATTAAGTAGTATATTGTAGTCCAGTAGCTAGTATACAAAATAGACATCATTCATATGGATTTTTTGTCCAGACAACAATCATATAAATCAATGATTATTGCATAAAATAAAATTATATTGGAACTCAATTAATAAATTAATGAAATTATTTAAAAATGTTAAAAATAAGATGACTTTATAAAAATGATATTTTAATAATTATTTTTTGTTAAAATATGTATTTACAAATATTTTAGAAAATATTACTATCAAAATTTCCAATAAAAGCCTAAGTTTTAAAAATAAAATATATTCAAGAAAGAAAATCGTATAGAAAAAGAAGGCTACAAGTTATTTCTTATCTACCTACATACTGAGTGATTTTTAACTTTAAACATTCAATAATATTGAAATAAACCACAAATTTAAATAAATACTGAAATTAATACTAGTTATTATATTTCTAAAGGAATATTACTATAATTTAGCATTCTTTTGGCAAAAGGAAATTATTTATGGGTACCTATAAACTAATATAAAGAGGTAAAAGTAAAAATAGTTTTTCATTTACATTTAAATACTCAGACAAATTTTATGAATTTACTAAATTCCAGTGAATTTCACCTAGTAGTTTATCATCATCCACATTTAACATTAACAAATTAAATAAAAAAGATATAAAATACAAGAGACCAAATGTTTTATTTTTAGTGAAGAACAAGAGACTAAATTAAAAAATCAAGAAAATGCCAAAGAACTAAAAAAAAAATATATCTAACTACTTTGAAAAGAAAAGGGAATGGAAATTCTGTACTAAAAAAAAGAGAATTTTCTTTTTGTAACAAAATAATAATAATAATAATAATAATAATAATAATTACAACAACAGAGGAGCAGAGGGAAAAGGAAAAAATGGAATTAATCGGACAGTACTGCAACTTATCTGTTTAAGCGAACGAGGAGGGCAGACGCGTCATTTCACATAAGCGAGTGTTTAATTCTAGTACTGTGGCGGGCGTTCCAAGAATATAATAATAATAATACCAACAGTACTTTTCGAAACACATAATTAATAAAAAAAAGAAATAAAGAAAAATTCATGGAAACTTTTGTGATCATGACGACGTTGGCGTATATATTGGAATCGTATTTATTAGAGAGAGAAGGAAAACCAAAAAACAAAAAAAAAACCCCAAACCCCAATACACAGACAGGTCAAACCCAAGCAGTTGGTAATCATTTCTTCACACCATTCACAATTAAAAAAAAATCCCTCTCTCTTTCTCTGTCTGTGTGGATTTTTGATAATGTTTTATTTGTTGTTTGTTGAGCAGTGGCAGTGCGCAGAAGCAGAAGAAGCAGAAATCTCTTTAAGGAATTTTCAGACTCCTTTCCCCGTTGCCCTTCGTATTTTCCCTTTCTCGTGATCTCTCTCGATTTTGTTCTATATAAACCCACCTCCTCCCGTTTCTTCTCTTCTCCCCCACCCACAGATCCACACACAAAATTAATCCATCGATCAAAATCTTTCTTATTTTTATTATACGACATGAGTTTGAGTAGTAGCAGTTGCGGGAGAAATGGGAGCGTGAGACAGTACGTGAGATCCAAAGTCCCACGCCTCCGCTGGACTCCTGAACTTCACCACTCTTTTGTTCTTGCCATTCAAACACTCGGCGGCCATCAAAGTAAGTTTCCTTTATTTTTCGATTTTTAAATGTTTATTTTTCGAATTTTTTGTTTGGGTTTCCAACGAAATCGAAAATAAACACATGAGAGTTATGATTTGGTTGTGCAGAAGCAACGCCGAAGCTCGTTCTTCAGCTCATGGATGTGAAAGGACTCACCATTTCACACGTAAAGAGCCATCTTCAGGTCTTCCTTTTTCTTTTCTTTTTTTTTTTTGGTCTTAGTTATTTATTAAAAATATAATATATATATATTTTTAATATTTTGTTTGGAACAGATGTACAGGAGTATGAGGGGTGACATGGGAAGGCAAGGTACGATTATTTTTGTTTTTTAAAATTTAATTTGTGGTTTTGATTATTTTGTACCCAAAGAACTCAAATGGGGTGTTGCAGATTGCTTTGCAGGAACCATTCGTTTCTTATTTTTCCCGAATTGGAACTCTGCCAAAAATCTCTTAATTCAAAATTTCTTGGCAAATCCACTTCATTTATTATCCAATATCTTTTTTTATTTTTAAAGAAATTTTTCTTTGTTTTTATAGTCCATGCCCGAAAATGATGGGAAGTGGCAGCAAACTGTAAAAACCCACTGCCCTCTCTAATCTACTAATATTAGCATTTTTCTTATGAAATAACAAACACCCATTCCCCATTTTCTTCATCTTTAAATAAATAATCACTGTAATATTTATTTATTTATTTTGCACAGATCGGAGCTCTTCAATAACCCTACAGAGAAAGCTAAGTTTGGAGGAAGAGGACGATAATGGGTGTGTGGAAGAAGAAAACGTGAGGGGTTTAAATCCTTCAGCTTCCAAAAGGTACAAAATATACATATAAATTAAAAAATAATATTTTTTTTTACCTTTTTTTGGCTTTGGGAAGAGACAAAAAGAATTGACACTGCCATTGTCTTTGCTCTTTTTTTTTGGGCTAATTTCCTTTTTGTATCTAATGATTTAAATTTTTTTTTTTTTATTTTTGGGATCTCAGAGCTAGAATAATGGAGAGGAGAAATTCAAGCAGTTATTGTTATGATTACTATGGACAGGAAATGGGGTTGGGCATGGCGGAGAATATAAAAATAAAGATGGCGATGCCTAATTCTCAATCATCAAACGACGTCGCACTGAACCAATCTGCTGCTGCTGCTGCTTCTCATGCTTTTAAGGTAATTAAATAATAAAAAAACCTATTTTCTCCCATTTTCCGTACGTACAACAAACAGCTTTATTAAAGGGCTCTCGTTTGAGACATATACCAAAGTGAACAAAATTAAAGTACAAGCAATTCCTTGTGTTGGTGTGGGTCAAGAATGTGTAAATCTCGAAATATCCATCAAATTAGGGGCACTTTTAGAAATATTATGGAAATCAAGAAACTTTTTTAATTAACATGAATTTAAAAATGGGGTAGGTTTTGAAATAAAAAGTCAGCTGTTTTTTTTTTAATGCGAATTAAGTTGTGCTTAGAGCTGTTTTTCACCCATTTTAAAGAGGGCCAGCGTTGAAAAGGGGCAGGCTCTCACTTGGAAGGTCTTGTCCAAACGTAATTTCATGCATGAAAAACTGCCTGATTTCTCCACTTTCGAGGCATCTTATATTCTACTTGGAACACTTTTTTCTTTCAAATAATCAACTTTATAGTTATAATATTTATTTTCCAACAAGTCCCCAAGTGGAACTAATTGTCAAGAGTTTGGAATCTCCTGGTTGCACCGATGAACTTAATACTAAAATCTTTATTTTCTTCTAGATCTATATCTTTGGGCATGGGGCATGGGAGAGCAAAACTCTGACTCTGGATTATTAAATAAAAAAAACTTTTCAACAATTTGATGAGTGAACACGTATTTTGTTCTCTTTCTCATTAAATTCATGACAGATAAGAGAGAAAAATATTAAAATATATATATATATAATTCAACCGTGGTCAGTATGATAATAGGTGAGTCATACATCACCGAAATGTTTTCCTCGACATACCACTATAATATATATATATTTTTTAATTACAAGAGAGTAATACTACAAGGAAGTATTCTAATTTATGTATGTACTTTGTATTTTTTGTTGATCACACAGCTCATAAAAGAAGAGGATTATGAAAGGGGAGAAGGGAGAGAGAGAATGGATGAGAAGGAGAGAGAAAGCAAGTATTTTGAACTCTCATTGTCGCTCTCTCTACACAATAATAATCATCATCCATGTTCAGGGAGTGAGATAAGTGAGGCAATTTCTTCGTCAAGTTCAAAGTTGGACAGTAATAATAATAATTATTACAGAGATTGTTCAAGTTATTGGTCCTCTGGGAGGCGGCAGCAGCAGCAGCTGGGCTTAAATTTAGACTTATCAATGGCTCTATGTGGTAGCCAATGAGAGTGTGTAATTTACACTTGCATCTCTCCTTCAACATTCCTTTTGTTCTCTCTCTTTTCTTTCTTTTTTTCTGAATATAATGTTGGAAAAAAAAAGACATCATTGTTTAGTAGTACTCTCAACATCGTTGTCTTGTTTTTTGTTTTCTGTTTTTCACTTTGTTTTATGGTGACCTAGTTGGACTTGTTCACATGGAGAAATGGGTGTTTATAAATTGTGTCAAGTTGTAGTTTTGATTTTGGAATGTTCATTAGTTATCGTATAGGTGGTTAATAAGAAATTTTGCTTTTGAAAATTTTATCAATTAAGAAAAGGGAGTCCTTTCAATTTTTTCATTTGAAGTTTTAACTTTTCATTTTAGTTGTTTCAAACGGTTATTTTTTTATTTCTTACTTTTAATTATATATATTTTTGTCAATATATATAAAAATTTTGTGGAGAAATTGAGTCACTTAAAAAAGAAAAGTTGAAATTTATGTTTAACTAGAAATTTAGACTGGAAAAAATGAGAAGCTTTCATTTTTAAGTGATCTAATTCATTCTCTAAAATTATGCTAAATAATTAATAACCTAATTTATTCTCCAAATTTATGCTAAATAATTAAAAATCACGTTACGCAATTAAGCTTATTATCAACTCTTTATCGAAACAGAAAAAAAAGTTTTTTTTATCAACTAATTAACCTTAATAATTTGCGTCGCGGACTCACCGGCCATCTCCAATAGTATAGATTCTTCGGACCATATTTCCTAATCCAGCATAAATTCTAAAGATATATAATTTGGAACAATATCACTAGGATGACTTCTAACAAAAATTGAACTACACTTCTAAATGATATCTGATGTTACTCATATTCAAATGACGTGACAATATTTTGAATTAATTTTTTTATTATTATTTTATCACAGGATAAGTTTTGGGTTTTATGTATAAATGGTCCAAAAATTGGATGCTCAATCAAATTGATCCGTTCCTAAAAATTAAGGGTGAGTTTGGTTGGTACTCAAAAAATAGAAATTTGAAAATAAGGGATTCAATGAAAACTGAGTTGTATTATTTGTTTTCAGCATTTTTAGATATGTGTTTCGTAGCAGATTTGGTAATTGAATCTCAATTTAAAAAAATATTTAATGTGTGTTTAGTAATATATTTGTAAACCAGAGGTAGTTACAAACTAAATTTTAGTTTAATCTAAATTTATATTAATTAATTTATTAACATTTTTTTTTTATGAATTTTGTATAATTTTTATTTTACATAATCTTATATAATTTAGAATAAATCATATTTTACATGTTTTAATTTTAACAAACTCATTTTATGTTTGTTAAAATGAGTTTATAATATGAACTAATATATTTATCAAACTCTTTAAATGTAATTGTGTATCTTAAAAATTTCAAATTCTAAATCTGAAAACATAAAAAGGTCGTTTTCAGAATTTTTATTGTTTGGATCACAAAATCTGAAAACAGTTTTAAAAAACGAATATCCAAAATTTTGTCAAACGCGTATTCGCTGAATCCATTTGATTCATTGAATCTGAAAACAAAATGTAGAATATGAGTTTCCAACCAAACAGGTCCTAAGTTTCTAACTCAACGCTGAACTTCAATCCCAATGTAAATGCACATTTTTGCCCCGGACAAATAAAGAGTCTTTCACTGCAATGTTTTTGTCTCATTATTTTCCCTCATTGTCCTTCTTGCTTGCGTCTTTCCATCTCAAAATTAATTGACAATGAATGTGAAATTCTTAATATACCCCCTTAAGATCGTGACTCTTTGGGCTCATTGATCTTGGTCGGACTCTATTTTTTAATCGGATGCTTGTTTGAGCTTTTGGGCTTTGATACCATATTAATATTCATATGGTTCCATCTCAAAACCAATTAACAATGAGAGGACTAGCCCATATTTATTATAAACTATTATTAATAACCTAGAATTAAAAGTAGAACTTGCAAACATAAACAATAAGGGAAGGAAAAGAACCAAAATTCCAAATTAAAGGTTTATGGAAATACAAAGAATAAGCTAAGCTAAAACAGAAATTGAAAGGAAATTTTAAAGCTTAAATCAATGAATGAATTCTCTTGCAAGTTATATTTATAGGCATTGGAGATTGCAACTTCTTGGAGAAATTTTTGGGAATTTAGTAGCTAGCTTGAACAAGTTAATTTGACTTTGACTTGCACACTCATGGAGGGATGACTTGTGCAGGAACAATTCTTCAAAGTCTCGCTTAAACCAAGTTAAAGTGTTGTGTTTTCTTGTTATGGGCAAATGATGCGCCTAGCGCGTCGTTGTGTGCATGCAGGAATTCTGGAAACGATGTGGCTGGTGCATTAGAGCAGATTGCTCTGTTTTTCATTGTAAAATACACATAAATGCATCATTTGTCTTATATTCACATCTGTATGAGTTCCCAAGTCATGCAACATGAATTATCAACATTTTTACACAATTACATGCATAAAACGTATGTTATTAACATCAAAATACCTTAAACACACATGATTGTTACAGTTGTTAGCCTTTAGATCAAGGCTTATTACTCCCACCTCTAAGAGAAGCCCTAAGGAAAGCCCCAGGCAAAGAATAGAAGGATAGGCCTCTTAGCAGATGGAGTGCGGCCACCTTCGTTGAGCATCCCAGAAAAACCCTCGGGGCCCCCAAGCTAGAAGAACGAACCCTCTATTGAAGGAGGGGGACACTGAATCGGAGAGCTAAAAAGGAAATTCTCCTCTAAAGAATCAAGCTTAGCCGCAAAACACAGACTGTAACTGAGGAAGATGCTCCCAAAGTTGGGAGGGGCTGACCCATCCGACTTTAATAACTGGAAATGACGAAGCCTAATTCTAGTTAGAAATGAGAAATGAGAAGTTGAGAAAAAATTTGAGACAACAATAAAAAGGCAAATCATAGAACTTTATTTATTGTTTTGGAGATGGTTACAAAGAAGAAAAAACCCGATAGGCCTACAAAGGGACCCGACCCCACTAATCAGGGCAGCTTGCTGTCCAAGGCTAGCCTAGCAACGGCTGACTCAAGTTCGTGAAACCACTCGTGAAGATTATGATTCGCCTCTTCCAAGCAATAGAGATTCCTTTCTAACTTGACCCTGAATAGGCGTGCGACATTCAAGGTGACTTGAAACCTTTCTAACTTGCACATAATGCAAGCTAACTCCAGCCCATTAGCGATAGATGGCGAGATTACAGGGATAGAAACGATTCAGCCAAAGTCAAGGAAGAATCCACACAATTCGTAAAGAACGAAGGGAAACTAAAACAGACAAGAAAGTAACAGACAGAAAGTAGGAAGTGCGACTTTTTATTAAAGTTATTGCATACAACTACAAAGCTCATTCAAGCAAACGATGACTAACTAAGATACAAGACGAGGGACTAAAAACGAAAAGAAGAAAAGGAGTAAAAGGGAGCTCCCACTGTCAGGTCCGCCAAAGAAAGGGTAAAGGAACTAAAGCCCTTAGTGCTCGTGGAACCCATAGCTAAAGGACATCATTGAGGGTGTTGTTTCTACCCCCAATCTTGACAGTGCTTTAAGAGAAATACCATCAAGAAGTGTTTAACTAGGGGGAGCGTTGCTACCGAGAGTTCGGGAGTCCAGAGCTTTAGACCGAATAATCCCTTTAATTTTCTATATCGTATTTACTATCATCTTATTCAAAAATCTTAAAAACTTCATCCTTTGTTCTTGGTCTTCTGCGTGCCTATTTTTGTCTATCATCCTTGCATGAACGTGTTCAAATATTTGTTGCTTTGTCCAGCATTCAAAGTTATCTATTTTTTTCGAACCACATCATTTGAGAGAAGTTTGCAGAGTCCAAAACCAAGACCCAACTTTCGAAATTCATATCTTTAGTTTCATGACTCAAAATCATGTGAAACCAGTATCATTTGAAAGATGTTTTACTTAACGTTTCAGCAAGACAAAAATCAATAAATCTCATCCAATCAATCAATTTACTACGCATTGTTTTCTAAAAAATCTTGCAGCATTTGAGAGTTCACTCTGTTAACTTCGATTATTCGTATCTTACTGACCTGTGCTTTGATTTTAGTCAAATCAGATATCATTTTGAAGGTCCTAGAAAAATCTTACTAGGAATTTAAAGATTACAACCATCTGAGGTCTGGAGCAGAAGTTACCACTATAGAAAAAAGAAGTGTCCAATAGAAAACGAAACTTTCGTTATTTTGAACTGGATAGATTTGAGAAATCTTTTTGACAAGCACATCTTCCCGGAGACCTCAAAAAAAGAGGATAGTCGCCACACCCCCTATTCCAAACCGAGAGAGAACTTTGTAGCCACATATTTTTCTTTTCGAGTGCAGCCCCTCAAAATGAACCCCAAAACCTCCAAGCAGCCCACGTAGGTATTGTACACTCAATGTACTTTGAGTTGCCACAAGTTTGATCCCAATTTGAGCTATGTACACCACACACCCTTACCCTTAAAATACCCCTTTCCGCAAGCTTCATTGTTTTGTTGGTAAAATTTTTGTGTGTTTGAACAATAGTTGGGTTTGTATCTTTTTAAAGTTAATTTTTGCTCTCTCTTACTTTTTTACTTATCTTTTTTTGTTTGTTTGCTTGACTTCAAGTCGCATATTGTTGTTATTCTTTACCTGAAAAGCATTACGTTTGAAGGCAGTCTTGTTTCTAGTTTTCTTTCGTTGATTGATTGCCACCAATATCATTAGGTTCAAGCATTTTGTTAATTTGTATCATTGGTGTCATTGGGTATCGATTACCTTATTTAGTTGCTTGCTTACTCAAGGTCGATTCGCCATAAGCAACCAAGTTTGTTGCTCAAGGTAAGTGTCTCTACATCAGATTGTAGTTAAAGAAGCTTTACCCCCAAAAAGCGACAGTTCAAAGAGCGATTCAAGTGACAGAGTGAATTGAGGAATATAATTTCTTGTTTTGCTAACCTTTGTTTGTGTAGCTATGGATAGAAGAGGAAAGTCACAATGATCTCAAGGAGAAGGAGTAAATTCATAATGCGAATATTACAATAACCATGTTTTTAATGTAGCTCCTCAAAGGAAGAAAGATCATTACACTAGTGGCTACCTTGGAAGCTCAACCCCTAAACTTCATAAGTTTCATGGAAGTACCAAGCCACAAGAGTATCTTCATTGAAAGGACCAAGTTGAA